AGGAGGCACCGCTGGTGACACAAAGACCTTTCCCTCAAGCATGATGTTCTGCCTGGTACAGTTTTGTCCTTCACAGGGAGACAGCACCATAATGGGGAGAGGGCTTAGGTATCAGGTAGACTTGGCCTTGAATATTGCTTCTGGAGTTTTCTGGTTGGTCATTTAATCCTCCATTCTTCAATTATCTCATCTATAAAATGAGGGTAACAATATCTACTTGGCAGAACTGTGAAGATCAAAAAATCTCATGAATTGCTGGGTGTGGCATTTAATTCCTTCTGGTTGGTCATTTAATCCTCCATTCTTCAATTATCTCATCTATAAAATGGGGGTAACAATACCTACTTGGCAGAATTGTGAAGATCAAAAAATCTCATGAATTGCTGGGTGTGGCATTTAATTCTGTGTCCTTCCCTATAACCCACTGTTGGGGTAAATTTAAATGAAAATGACCCTCAAGTGGAATTTGGGTGGTCATGTGGTCTTCTACTAAAAATCAGATGGAGGGAAGGTGCTATAGCTTGTTTCTGCAGATTTGGAAGTGTCTTCACTCCATTTTTGAACCCTCTAACAGGTACTTTGCACATGGGATTCACTCTGAGGAAGATGCAATGATATTTTCTCAGCAGAACCAGCCCAAGGCACTGTGGTCCCCTGAAAATAAGGAGGGGACCAAAGACTAAATGGGATTCTAGATCAGCATTGAAATAGCACCAGGAGGGTACACTAACCTTGTTCCTGCCAGGGCATGGAGCCCAGGCTTAAGCCACATAGCTTACTCTATGCAGATCAAGGAACCCCTCTAGCATAGATTTACAGACGGGGTTCTGAAGTGCTGAGCAGTCACTTCTGGAGTGGGGATTCCTACAAGGTTCTTTCAAATGCTATCTAGCCAGTCTTACATGCATACACACATGTACCTGTGCGTGCATGCACACACACACACATAAACACACACACAGAGAGAGAGAGAGAGAGAGAGAGAGAGAGTTCTATTAATGTGTTAATGTGCATGGCATATGATTGGAGCTCTGAAAAGGACTAAGAAATTTTAAAAAATATTTTATTTATTACTTTTATTTTATGTTTATGCATGTATTGCCTGCATGTAGGTAAGAGCACCCATGTCGTACAATGCCCACAGAGGTCAGAAGAGGCTGTCGGATCCCCTGGAACTGGAGTTACAGATTTTTTTAAGTTATTTATAGGTAGGCTGAAGGAGACTTGGAAGAGTCCTAGATTCTTTTTTTCACGATTTAGTTTTATTTGTGAGTCTCTCTGTCTCATGTGAGTGCTGCAGAAGCCAGAAGAGGGTATCAGATCCTCTGGAGCTGGAGTTACAGGCAGTTGTGAACTACATGATGTGGGTGCTGGGAACTGTACATGGATTTTCTGCAAGAGCAACAAGAGCTTTTAATCACTGAGCCATCTCTACAACCCTGATTCCTAGTTTCTTAAAGCTTTGAGAAGAAAGAATTGGGCAGGGGTAGGGATGAATCCCCTCCCCGTGTGTGTGTGTGTGTGCGTGCGGTGTGTGTGTGTGTGTTTTGTGCACGTGTGTGTACTGGGGATGAAGAATTCTGTGGGTGTGACCTAGGGCTTCTCAGTCAGTCACTCTAGGATAGCAAATGACCTTTTGCAGAGGATTCTAATCTGGAGCTATGACAACTCTTTTTTTTTCCCTAACTCAACAGACCAAAAGTTCCAGCTTTTTAATTGAGCATGTTCACAAGAGGTTTAGTCAAAAAGACCAAAGCCCATGTCATCATCAGACTCCTCATTCTTCTTTCTTCGCTTCCACTTTCTTCTCCTCAGCTGGGGCAGCTGCAGTAAAAGGGGCAGGACCACCACTGGAGCAACACCAGCTGCCGGAGCAGGTCCACCAGCCCCTACACTGCAGATGAAGCTCCCAATGTTGACATTGGCCAGGGCCTTTGCAAATAAGCCAGGCCAAAAATGTTCAACAGTGATACCAGCTGCTTTAATGAGAGCATTAATCTTATCCTCCGTCATGGTGACCTTGCCATGCAGGATGAGGGTGAAGTAGATGCAGGCGAGCTCAAACACGGAGCCCTTACTGTGGACTGCCACACAATACTAGTTGCCAGATGAAGTGCGGGCGCACCCTAAGGCAGCCTTAGCTTGCTTGGAAGGACCCAGCACCTTGGTGGCAGCTGAGGAAAGCTCTAATCTGGAGATATGACAACTCTAAGAGCCCAGGCTTACCCCCTTCATATTTCTCCCTGAACACGGTGACACGGGTGGGGGGGGGTGCTGAGCATACCAAGAAGGAAGGGTAAGCCTGGGCTCTTAGAGTTGTCTCTCCCACCAAGAAGATCAAATAGCATAGACTGAATGGTGAGGCCTCCAGGCTACTATGTTTAGAAAGCTTTGGAGACCCATTGTGGCAGGAGAATAGGCAGGAGAGTGGCATCCAGATAAGCACATGGAAGTTGTCAGTTGGTAGAAAGACTGAAGACTTCTCCACACCAGTGATACATGTGACAAAACAGAACATGAACAGGAAAATCAGGAGCTATACAAAAGCAGGAGACTAAATGGTCCCTAAAGGGCTGGAGGTGCTGGAGTGACAGGGGATTTGATCCTCAGCCTGTCCCAGACCTCTAGTCACTTCTATTCTTGGGAGTGTCTTTCTCTTTCTTAATAAGCTGTCTCTATTTCTACCACCATCTACCAGTGCCTGGCCAATTCTTTGTTCCATGACAGAAGAACCTGGAAATCTAAGCAAGTGTCCTGCAAACTCCAATCCATACTTACCACACTGTGAGAGACAGAAAAGATGGAACCTTTGGAGCTTTTGACTTAAGAGAGGGAGAGAGGGACAGAGAGAGAGAGAGAGAGAGAGAGAGAGAGAGAGAGAGAGAGAGAGAGAAAGTCAGTTAAGATAAAGAATCTGGTCCTTTATACCCTACTCTGAGATACTGTCAATCAAGTAATCCCCCAGGTTGGCAAATCATGGGTCCAGGGTCTGTTCAGAAGATGCAGTTCCTGTATTTCTCTTCGTATAGTATCAATCAGAGCATTTGCTGAGACTCTGCTTTGTTCCCTTCTGTTAGGAGTTCAGACTGTGGGGTCAGGAGTTGGACAGGTCTGGGCTAATTTTTAAGTCTTTCTCATGATTTATGCGAATCAGAGCATTTGCTGAGACTCTGCTTTGTTCCCTTCTGTTAGGAGTTCAGTCTGTGGGCTCAGGAGTTAGACAGGTCTGGGCTAATTTTTAAGTCTTTCTCATGATTTATGCTTTCCAATTGCATGTTTTAAAGGTATTCAACACACACAGTGAAGAGATGAGTACAGTCAAGCAATTTCCATTTTTTCACCTTCTAGAGTGATTTTGTGTATATATATCACACCTAAAATCTAATCTGTTAGCACGATTTCATTGCACCTCACAATAGTGTTAACTGTAGTTGTCCTGTCGTAGGTAGAACTGTAGATTAACTCACGTTGCACACCTGCAACTTGTCAACCTGTGGGTCTTCCTACTTCCTCTCTCTCCTTTATCCCTGGGAACTTCCCTTTTCAGCTCCCTATTGCTCTGTATTTGGCCTTTTCTTAAAAGTGCACATAGGGCTAAGGATGCGAGCCAGTAGAGTGCTTGCCTAGCATGCATGAATCCCTGGCTTCCATCATCCCCAGTACCTCATAAACAATATGTAGTGGCCCATACCTGGTAATCTCAGCAATCAGGAGGTGAAGGCAGGAGGATCTGAGTTCAAGGTCATCCTGGCCCACAGGAGAACCCCATCCAGGCAAGATAAAAAATTTAAAAATGCATACAAACCTGTGAGTTCTTCCTTTCAAATTCACTTTTTTATGGTCTAGGGGACTAACCTATGGATAAACCAGTTCCTTGTCTTTAAAATGATGGCTTAGGCAAGGTAACTACAGAGGCTGTTTTCAGGGTAGGGCTAGGGTTAGAAAAGATCCCTTTCTTCCTTCAGGGCTGTAGTGCTTGACTTAGGGTGACCCCTCCACCTCCTATTTAGCACTGTCAGGTCAAGTCTGCTCACTTCCTTACCCCACCCCCATTTTCGATTTTTGGGTTAGAAGGTTAACACTGGCCTACTGGAGGCTTTCCTAGCCCTCCCACCCCCGCCCCCCATTTAAGCAGTGGCCCTCTCAGACAGCCAGGCAGGCTCCTGCTGTGGTCCTTGAGTTTGGGGAACAGCTCCTCCCAGAGGACAGGCTTCCCCACCCAGGCAAGTGAGCCAGAGGTGACTGCATCCATCCATATGCATGTTCTCAATTAAAGACTTCCCGCCACTGGGGAGAGAAAGGCTCTGTACCGAGTGAAACCAAAAGGACCCCACGCTGGCTTTTTGGGTCCCAGGGAAGGAAGTCGAAGCAAAACACTAGGAGGCTTGGAGCTCAGTCTGGCTTTTACGGGTCTCTTAATAGCCTGGTGGGGGCCAAATTCCAGACAGCTATTCATTCCAAATATCCAGGAACCCCATAATCTGGGCGCTAAGGTGGAGAATGTTTGCAGGCTCCTCCAGGGCTACTCTTCGCCAAAGGGGTCATGCAAGGCCGGGCATCCAGGGAGCCCTGGACAGAGGATAGAGTGGGGACACAACGAGCGGCTCGAAGAAGTTTGTCCCCCTCCAAGCCCAGGAGCACCCTCGAGCTCCCCAGGCCCCGCGCCTGCATGGTGGCCTGGGAGGCGCGGCGACAGTATCACTGTGTTGAGTCAGACCCCGCAGTAGGGCTGGTCCCTCAGCCAGGCCGCTGAGCTGAATTAACTGTGGTTAATGATTGACCGCTGGGACGCTTCCCAGCTTCCCGCAGCTCCAAAGACGGCTCTTCTGGAGGGCGGGCCCGGGAGGCCAGTGCCAGGAACCTGGAAGGGAGGGAAGAGCAGAGTCCCCGGGCGCAGCGGGTCTCACTCTGGAGCTCCACGGGAGACCAGAACCTCCTTCCCCAGGCTAGTCCCGCCTCACCCCTGCGCAACCAACTCCAAACTCCGCCCCCAGGCGCCTTCGGGGATCGAGGTTGAATTGCTCCAGGAAGTTTCAATGAGGGCGCCGAAATATTAAGTTGACCAGCCAACTCCCGTGACAGAAAGTTCTGCGCCCAAGCTGGCCAGTTGCAGTCAAGAAGTTTGGGCTCCCCTAGGAAGAGAAAGAAAGGGAAGTGGAGACATTTGGGGGACCTGGTGACCTGGTTCTCTCCTCATGGCTTTATCAAGTGACCCCAGCAAGGACTGCTCCCGTGTCATCGATCACAGCCATGTCCCCGAATTTGAGGTGGCCACCTGGATCAAAATTACCCTCATCCTGGTGTACCTGACCATCTTCGTGGTAGGCATCGTGGGCAACAGCGTCACCATCCGGGTGACGCAGGTATTGCAGAAAAAGGGCTATTTGCAGAAAGAGGTGACAGATCACATGATCAGTTTGGCATGCTCAGATATCTTGGTCTTTTTGATTGGCATGCCCATGGAGTTCTACAGCATCATTTGGAATCCGCTGACCACTCCCAGCTACTCATTGCCTTGTAAGCTCCACACCTTCCTCTTCGAGGCGTGCAGCTACGCCACGCTACTGCATGTGCTGACCCTCAGCTTTGAGCGCTACGTGGCCATCTGTCACCCCTTCAGGTATAAGGCAGTGTCTGGACCTTGCCAGGTGAAACTGCTGATCGGCTTCGTCTGGATCACTTCCGCTCTAGTGGCACTGCCCTTGCTTTTTGCCATGGGTACCGAGTACCCCCTGGTGCCCACTCACAGGGGACTCATTTGCAATTTCTCTCGCACCCGCCACCACGAGCAACCAGATACCTCCAATATGTCCATCTGTACAAACCTCTCCAGTCGTTGGACCGTGTTCCAGTCCAGCATCTTTGGGGCCTTCGCGGTTTACCTCTTGGTCCTGGTGTCAGTGGCTTTCATGTGTTGGAATATGATGAAGGTGCTTTTGAGAAGCAAGCAGGGCACTCTGGCAGGGTCTGGGCCACAACTGCAACTGAGGAAGTCGGAGAGTGAGGAGAATCGGACTGCAAGAAGACAAACCATCATCTTCTTGAGTGAGTCGGGGATGCAGGGGGACCAGGGTCCTCTTCCTGTGACTCTATAGAAAGTCTGGCCGTAGAAGTGTAAATCTGAAGACATTGGGACTGATGTGCTGTGGTAGAACTAGGACCTTGACGTTGATCTGGGGTCTTAGTGGCTAGGTGTCTCTTCTCAGCTTTGGGAATTTGTGGTCTGTGACTAGGAATCAAAGGTCTAGTACATCCTTTCTGTGACCTCAGGCAGCTCTCAAAATTTCTTGGCTAATTACTGAGAGATAGTAGGGACAAATTAGGTCACACAGGGCAGGTGAGAGTCCGTAGACAGAGTGATTTTATCTTACCTGATCCTTATTCTGGAGAACCTTCATCAGGAAGGGCGATTTGTCCCCATTTTTCTCTTCTTTGGGAGAAGCAATTTGTCAGGAATACTTGCTATCCAAACAGCTGTTTCCCCTCAGGAGCTGTCTGTAGGTCTTAAGAAAGGAGCTCTGTACTCTGGCAGGGTACTGTCTCTACTTGGTTTCTGATGCTGCCTTCCTTTCCAGAACAGTGAACAGGACTTCTTGTTTAATCCAGAAAATCCACCTTTCCAGATTGCCTAGAGTCTAGCGAACTGACCTCCCACCTCTTAATGTCCCCAATTTCAGTGCAGTCAAACTGTTTGCTTTCCAAACTTCCTAGTGATACAAGTGTTTGGAATTGAAATCCATTTCTGGACTTACAGGGACTATTTAAAGCCCACTGTAGGGAATAAGCCTTCAGAAGAGGGCCTTTGGGGACTGGGGATGCTGCTCAGTTGGTAGAGTACTTGTGTGGCATGCACATCTGGGTTCCATCTCCATCACACAAACCCCAAGTGACTGCACACCTGTAATCCTAGCACCTGGGAGGTGGAGGCAAGAGGATCAGAGGTTCAAGATCATCCTTGGCTGCATAATGTTTGGAAGCCAGCCTGGGTTCCATGAGATCTTTTCTCAAAAACAAAACCAAAGCAAAACAAAAAGCCAAAACCAAGGGCTGGAGAGTTGGCTCAGTGGTTAAGACACTGGCTGCTCTTCCAGAGAGCCTAGCTGGTTTCCCAGCACCTATATCAGGTGACTCACAACTGCCTGTAACTTCAGTTCAAGGGGATCTGATGCCCTCCTCTGGCCTCTGTGGGCATACCCTCTACCCCAGACACACACAGGAGACAGATAGACACACACACACACACACACACACACACACACACACACACATGAGCACGCACAAATAAAAGAACTAAATCATAAAAATAACAACAAAACTAAAAATGGAGAGTTTTGTTGCTGTCTCAGGGCTTTAACCCAGTCATATGTATGTGTGTGAGCAAAGGGTTGGAAAAATATTTTTCAGCAGAAATAAGAAAAAGGTAACATCATAGGTGTGAGAGCCACAGGGGAGTTATAAGAATGCTTCTCTGCTCTCCTTTCCCTTTCCAGCGTGATGTCCCAAAGAAGTCCATTCTTTTGGTGGCAGAAACCGGAGGAACTGGTCCAGATCAGGGTTCAGGCAGGAATGAAAACTACAAGTTATTTAGGTCTTAGGTCAGCCTCTGGCTGAGGGTGGGTCAGCTGCTGACTTGATTTTGATCTAAGTCTGTGCCAAATGCGAAGCATGAGCTTGCTTGACTGGGATGTTCATCTGGCATCAAGGCTGTGTTCCAGATGTGGATAGGGTCCCCAGGACACCAGGGTGATTTCCTGGTTCGAGTTTCCTGAAACTAGGAAGTGGACTAAGGACATGTAGGTAGTGATAGAAACTGTTTTTTAAGACAGAGGCCACTTCTAAGTAGAGCTGGGAAAGAAATTCTTGGCTCTGGGTCACCCAGGTTGTGTCATTTACATAGCACTCACCTTGTCCTGCACTCATGCATCAACATGTTCTGTCCCTTCCATATAAGGCTTGGCCAGGGCTTTCCAGTCCTTTTCTGTGTCATTGGTTTCTTTCATATATTAAACTTTTGTTAAAATATTTATTGTTTTATTTTAATTTTTAAAATATTTTATTTATTATTTTATGTGTAGGAGTATATTGCCTGCATATGTGAAAGTGCACCTGTGTCATGCAATGCCCATGGAGGTTAGAAGAGGGAACCAGATACCCTGGAACTGGAGTTATGGTTGGTCGGTAGCCACCATATGGGTGCTAGAACTCAAACTTGGGTCCTCTGCAAGAGCACCCAGTACTCTTAATTGCTGAGCTCTCTCTCCAACCCCTTATTTCATCTTTAAAAAAAACCATTTTTTATTTTTGTTTTATGTGTACGAGTGTATTGCTTGTGTGTAGGTAGGTGTACTTGTGTCATGCAGTGCCTGTGTAGGTCAGAAGAGGGTGTCAGATTGCCTAGAACTGGAATTACAGACTGTTGTTAGCTGCCATGTGGGTGCTGTGAATTGAACCTGGGTCCTCCAGAATAGCAGCCAGTGCTCTTAACTGCTGAGCTATCTCTCCAAATAAATAATTATTTATTTTTTATGTGTATGTTTGTGTGTACCTTTGAATTCATATGCACCATGTATGTGCAGGTATCTGCAGAGGCCAGAGGGCATAGGATCCCCTGGAACTGGAGTTATATGTAGTTATGAATTGACTAATGTGGGTGCTAGGAACAAAATTTGGGACCTCTGCAAGAGCAGTAAGTGCTCTTATACGCTGAAACAGCTCTCCAGCCCCTCATATGTTCGTCTTTTAAAAAATTAACTTACTCATTTTTATTTAATGTATATGAGGTATTTTGCCTGTGTGTATCTAAGTGCACCTATGTTGTGCAATGCCTGTGAAGGCCAGAAGAGGGTATCATGTCCCCTGGAACTGGAGTTATAGAATGTTGTGAGCTGCCATGTGGGTGCTGGGAACTGAACCTGGGTCTTCTGCAAGAACAGCTAGTGGTCTTAGCAGCTGAGCCATCTCTCCAGGCCCTCATATGTTAATCTCGATGCCTCTTTTTCTCCCTACTTTACTGCCACAGCTGTGCTGGGTAATTTATGTTTCATTTTATAAAAGAGGAGTTGGAGGTTTAAGATCTGGGCTGGGGATGTAGTTCAGTTGGTAGAATGCTTGCTTGGCATGCATGAAGTCCTAGGTTCAATCTTCAGCACTGTATTAAACTAGGAGTGGGGGCACACATCTCCAATTCTAGCACTCTGGAGGTGGAGGGAGGCAGATCAGAAGTTCAGGGTCATTCTCAGCTAGGATATGCTGGGATATATGAGATCCTGTTTCAAATAAAACTCCACCTTAGTCAGATATCTTGGCCCACACTTTTAATTCCAGCACTTTAGAGGCAGAGGAAGGTGGACCTCTGTGAGTTCAAGGCCAGTGGGGTCTATATAGCAAGTTCCAGGTCAGCCAGGACTATGAAGTGAGACCTTGTCTTAAAAATAAAACAAAACAGGGGCTGGAGAGATGGCTCAGTGGTTAAGAGCACTGGTTGCTCTTGCAGAGGACCCAGGTTTAATTCCCAGCACCCTCATGGCAGCTAAAAACTGTCCATAGCTTGAGTTCCAGGGGAATTCAACACCCTCTTCAGACTTACATGGGCATTGCACAACATGGGTGCACACATGTGCATGTAGGTAAAACACTGATACACATAAAATTAAAAAAAATAAATTTTTAAAAATAATTTATTGAGAATTTCATACATGCATATAAGGTGTTTTGATCAAATCTATGCCCACTCCCTCCCTAAATAAAATACTTTTAAAAGATTAAAAAAACAAAACAAAACAAAGCGAAACAAAACGATCACCTCATGGTTAGAAAATGAGTGTGTGGCCCAGACTCCCACAGCCACGTGATGCAGGGAAATGATACAATGCAGAACTTAGGCAAGGAAGGAACAACCAAGCTGGCATGATGTTGTTCTGAAAGCTGGCACCAGGGAATCCTTGGCAGTAACATGACTTGGGGTTATGGCAAGGGCACTGAAGCTAACACAATCTTGGTCATCCATTGCCTGTTGCTCAAAATGTTCCAGGTAGGAAAGATGCCATGTTTTGGATGCCACGTTTGTGGGCTTGAGCATTTATTAAGAAGCATTTTTTTAAATTTCTTAATTCCTTAGGCATATCTTCTCTTGAACTGTTAGCTATAATTTATGCTTTAAAGATTTTTTTTATGTATATGTGTCTACCTGTATGTGGATACACGCATGTGTATGTGGGTGTTCAAGGAGGCCAAAAGAGGGTATAGAATCCCCTGGAGCTTCACAGAGAGTTGTGAAGATTAGCAAATACTCTTAAGAGCTGAGACATTTCTTCAACCTCTAATTTATAGTTTAATGTGAATTTTCTTCCCTTCTTCCTCCCTTTCTCCTTCCCTCCTTTTCTTCCTTCTTTCTTAGCTCAAGGTACTGGCCTGAGCAAATAAAGTTATGGAAAACACAAGAATTAGGACACAGGCTGGAGAGATAGCTGAGTCAGTAAAATGCCTGCCAAGCATGATGACCTACTTCAATTCCCAGAACCTATGTAAGAAGCCAGGAATGCTGGCACATACCTGTAAGTCTAGCACTGAGGAGGTAAAGACAGGTGGGTCCCTAGAGCTCACTGACTAGCTAGTCCTACTGAATCAGTGGGCTCCAGTTTCAGTGACAGATCCTGTCTCAAAAAATATATCGTGCAGAACAATAGAAGAAGACATCAAAGTTAACCTCTGGCCTCTGTGTACATGCATATGCATGTACGTGCGCGGGTGCACACACACACACACACACACACACACGCATGCACGAACGCACTTACAGAAAAATTAAGACAAATTCTTGAACTACCTCCCAGTTTAACCTAAGAGTAGATTTTTCTTTCACTAAAGGGAACATTACTGATTTACCTTGACTTTCTTTTTAAAAGTGTATATATGTGTGTCTATGTGCCTCTGTGTGTGAGTGTGTGTGTGTATTTGTGTGTGGGTATGTGTGCTTGAGTCCACTACCCACTGAGGATAGAAGAGGGTGTTGGATCCCCTGAAGCTGGAGTTACAGGTGGTTGTGA